TGAAAGCTATAATCGAATGAGAAAAGTAAGTTAAATTTTGAATACATAGGATACAAAGCGAGGTTTGCAGAACACAAGAAATCAGCATCTTATTTACAGTCAATATTTTTTAAATGTGTCCCTACTAGAAGTTCATTTTTAGTAGAGAAAGCGTTAAGTTTCCAAAATACAAGTAGAGAAGCGTTAGAAATAAATATAGAAAATGGGTATGTTGAAACCTAAATACAAGAGAAGTGTGCATCTACATGGAATCTTAAGTTTGTTAAAACTAGGAGAATAAAGCCTCAACATCCAATTGCATATGCAGTCTGGAAAAAATCAATTTCATCTCCACTAAAGTTTAATCATCAATTGAATTAGAAGACCAACAAGAAAGTCGAGAACTGAAGAGCTAGTTCATAACCAAAGAACCAAGATAAACTATTCTGCTCAATTACAGTCTTTATTACTACTACTCCTAATCAATGGTAATAAGAAGGCCTTCCATCTTTAGCTTCAAAATGTGTTGCACCAGTTAATTTCAGTATAAAATTTTCAGCAGCCAACACAGGATTAAACAGGTTTTGGTGATGCTTGATAACAATAGATTTTGCTTCTTCCCAAAAAACATACCTAAAAATCCACAAAAAACACCGCAATGTATCAAACCAAATTCAAGAGTTCAAATCAACAGATGTGAACAGAAATCTTCAAGGTGTGATTTTGTTTAAAAAACTTCAGGATTTAGTAATTGTAATACAGAGAATTCATCTTGAAATCCATACTTTTCTCACGATTAATTTTTGAACAAGCTAATAATTCTTTTGAGGGGTGAGGAATTTCTAGAACTCCTGGAGTATGGAGTACTCAGTGCTATAGACAAACATATACATTTCAATTAAATAGTGACAAGCAACACTGAGTTCCATACTCCCAAAGTAATAGAGATTTTCTCCTAAAGTAATACTGAGTTTCGTACTCCCAATCAGACAGCCATGTGAAAGCAGTAAGTAACATAAAAGAATGAGATCTATTTTCACCCGTGTTTACAACAGGATACATAGATTTAAACATCAAAACTAATGTGAAAACAAAATAATTTGACAAAGTTGAAGGAGAACAAATAAATGCTTCCAAGAAAAAAATATGCAATGCCAAGATCCAAAATCATACTTGAATAATTCAGCTATATCCTTTAAGTTACACCCAGAAATCTAAATAATCAGATCAAAGTAGAAGAGAAACAGAGAAAAAGACAATTGCATCATCTCTGTAATCTTGTTCTCTGTTTCACCATTTTCTTTCCAAGATTCGGCTCAAGCCAATCAAATGAACCGTTAAAGTATACGAAAGAACAAATCTTGAAGTCCAAAAATATACAGACCTCCTCAAAACAAATAAAAATAACTTGATAGAACAAACCTGATTAGAAAATCAAGAGGATGTCTTTAGTTGAGCAATAGATCGCATCAAATAATAAATATTCACATTAAAAGGTACAAAACTAGTATGAGAAATCTGACCTCGCCATTCATGAAGAGCTAAGCCTTCTTCTGATTGCAATTCAGTTGGAGGCGGAAGGATCGGGGCCGTCAGAGCTAAATATTCAGTCCAAATTTTGGCCAATATCATAAGGTGCCATTCCGTTGCCATTCGAGAGCGGAACGGATTCAGGATTTCCTTTTTATCGCCGTAGTTAATTTTTTTTCCTGGGTTTTGTACAATGAGCTTTTGCGTGTGGTTTTCTCTAGAGATCCTGGTACAAATTGAAGAGTATGAGAAAGATAAATCTTGGTTTGATAGAGATCTAAGCCGGGAAAGAGATTAGGTGAAGAATAGAAGAGAGGCGGAGGAGGAAAAGTTAGGGCTTGTTTTAATGTGGGTGTAGACGTTGTATAAAAAATAAAACTTTCGCAACATTTTTTTAAACGTTGCGAATAAGCTTTTTTACAACGTTTTTTAAACGTTGCGAAAGTATTTTTGCAACGTTTAAAAAACGTTGCAAAAAAGCTTAGAAAAACAAAAAAATTTCGCAACAATGAGAAAACGTTGCAAAAACGTTACATTAATAACATTTACTTAAAAAATGTTGCCAAAACTCAATTTTGCTGAGCAATAGCAACATTCACGTATTAGGATGTTGCGGTAGACACTTTTAGTAACATTTAACTAGCGAATGTTGCCTTTCATATGTTGCAAATTGTGTTTTTTGGCGTAATGTTATTTCGTTTAAAAAGACAAGATAGAAAATGAAACTAGAAATAAGTGATATATTTGTATAATAGCAATGACTCCTTGTCAAATNCAAATAAATGCTTCCAAGAAAAAAACATGCAATGCCAAGATCCAAAATCATACTTGAATAATTCAGCTATATCCTTTAAGTTACACCCAAAAATCTAAATAATCAGATCAAAGTAGAAGAGAAACAGAGAAAAAGACAATTGCATCATCTCTGTAATCTTGTTCTCAGTTTCACCATTTTCTTTCCAAGATTCAGCTCAAGCCAATCAAATGAACCGTTAAAGTATACGAAAGAACAAATCTTGAAGTCCAAAAATATACAGACCTCCTCAAAACAAATAAAAATAACTTGATGGAACAAACCTGATTAGAAAATCAAGAGGATGTCTTTAGTTGAGCAATAGATCGCATCAAATAATAAATATTCACATTAAAAAGTACAAAACTAGTATGAGAAATCTGACCTCGCCATTCATGAAGAGCTAAGCCTTCTTCTGATTGCAATTCAGTTGGAGGCGGAAGGATCGGGGCCGTCAGAGCTAAATATTCCGTCCAAATTTTGGCCAATATCATAAGGTGCCATTCCGTTGCCATTCGAGAGCGGAACGGATTCAGGATTTCCTTTTTATCGCCGTAGTTAATTTTTTTTCCTGGGTTTTGTACAATGAGATTTTGCGTGTGGTTTTCTCTAGATATCCTGGTACAAATTGAAGAGTATGAGAAAGATAAATCTTGGTTTGATAGAGATGATAGAGATCTAAGCCGGGAAAGATTAGGTGAAGAATAGAGGAGAGGCGGAGGAGGAAAAGTTAGGGCTTGTTTTAATGTGGGTGTAGACGTTGTATAAAAAATAAAACTTTTGCAACATTTTTTTAAACGTTGCGAATAAGCTTAAAACGTTGCGAAAGTATTTTTGTAACGTTTAAAAAACGTTGCAAAAAAGCTTAAAAAAACATAAAAATTTCGCAACAATGAGAAAACGTTGCAAAAACGCTACATTAATAACATTTACTTAAAAAATGTTGCCAAAACTCAATTTTGCTGAGCAATAGCAACATTCACGTATTAGGATGTTGCGGTAGACACTTTTAGCAACATTTAACTAGCGAATGTTGTCTTTCATATGTTGCAAATTGTGTTTTTTGGCGTAATGTTATTTCGTTTAAAAAGACGAGATAGAGAATGAAACTAGAAATAAGTGATATATTTGTGTAATAGCAATGACTCCTTGTCAAATCATTTTAACAAACATATAAGCTTAATGATATGCCTAACATCGATCACTGTTATTATTGAGAAATTCTGCAAGCTTGCTTGGAAACCTGAATGGGGATCGAATCTCCACTTCTATTGATTTCTTCATGAAGAGTACATTTTTCTGGGATACGAATTACAAATTAATCCTTGTTCATTAAGATATTGCTGCTATTTCAGGGAGCCTTCCATAAAAAATATTATGTGGAGGAACTCATCATTCATGTACACTTTTTGTCATACTCTCCTATTGCAATTTAAAGGCTAGGAAAAGAAAAATAGACGGCTCTTTTTGGTTTTGTTGTAATCTTCCATTGGTGTTTCACTCATTGCAGGATTTATAACTGTAATGGTTCTCCTTGTCCTAAATTTTGGCTGTAAAAAACCCTAAATTAGAGAATGGCATGCGTGACCCTGCTTTCAAATTGAAGAATACGATGATTTTTAATGCATTCATCTTCTGCCATGGTAAATTACACACTGTTTGTTCATTAGAATTCCAGGTTTTTTATTGCAAGTATGACGTGATTTAAATGACATGGTTTTATTTATATAATTTCAGATATTTAATGCTAGGAAGCCAGATGGGATTAATGTGTGGAAGGGAGTAAACCAAAATTGTCTTTTCATGGGGATTGTATGCATTATTCTTGTGCTCCAGGTATTTGCCGACATATTTTCTCTCTTCGAGAAAAAAAATTATTTTCCAGGTCTAATTTATCATCTTTTCTGATTTTTCGGTTTATGATGCAAGTGATAGTAATCATGTTTCTTGGGAAGTTCACTTCAATTGTTCCGCTCAGTTTGAAGTTATGACTAGTTTCCATACATATTTTAGTATTAAGAGGTCCATTTATCATTACCTAAGCATATCTTTGTTAAGAAGTTATTAAAAGGTCCAGTTTCAATTATTGCAAAACTGATCCCCGTTCGTAATAGGCCTTTCAGTAAATTCTTTACAAGGAAATAGCATTAAGAAAAAGGTAAATACAACTTTTTTGTTAGCTCTTAGAAAAACATCCACTCTGTCAGGAAGAAGCAATTGTTCACTTATTTATATGGAGTTAAATTTTTTTTTTTTTGGCGGTTGAATTAACTGCATAGTTTTCTTGTCTGAAGTGATTGACGTAGGTTAACATTTTCATATACACAGAATATCAAATTGTTGTTGGAGTGCTCTGGATTGTGTTTGGTCAGTATTGTCTATTGTGAATGTGTGGAATACTGTTGTTTATGGGGACATTGATGGAGTATTAAAGTACTATTGGCTACTTCATCATGTAAGACCCTATTAGGGACTTTTAAAGTCATAATTTCTTGCTTGATACTTCATAATGTAAAGTTTTCTTGCACTATCGTAAGTTTCTTTTACATCTTAAGTCCCCGGAAAATTCTTCAAAATAATTGATATATTACTGCATATTGTCAAACTTGTTATATTTGTCAAATTAAAACTAAGAGTTTCAATGTGGAAAAGCCACTTACTATTAATAGTCGTGTGTGTTTGTGTGTGTGACCAGAGCTTTCATTAACTATGTCTTCAAATATCCCAACCTAAAAATTAGTACGCCATCCAGTCTTCACTCAGAATAACTATGAATAATTCTAGTTGGATAATCAAAGTTATTACATCATCCAGGCATGTGATAATCAAACTAAACATAGTGGGCCTTAAAATTCAAGTAGATTATGCATGTTAAGATGAATTTAACGGATACCAAAGGATCTCTAACATTATAGATAAGATCTTGTGTTCTTAGTTAAAAGCAATAAATTAGGTGAGAGATCTGTTATACCTAAAACTAAAGGAAATAAGGAAATCAAAATATGAACACAAGAATGCATTCCTTTATCGAAATTATATGAGAATGACTTGGAACGTTGCGTTGGAATCTGACATGCATCTAAATAGCAAGTGCATGTTTGAGTTTGGAATACGTCGTCCTGGTCAGCGGGCAGATGAGTTCATTTAATTTTTTTCTTTTGAGAGAGGTTCAAATCTCAGATGAGTAGATGAGCATTTGTATACAGCCAAATCAATTATATCATTTGATCAGAGCAACCTGTTTAAAGAAAAGCTGTGCTTAAGTGAGAAAATAAATAGAAAGTAAGTGAGATCTTATTTTTCAATGTTCAACGGATGCAAGACATAGGGTTGACAAGTCAAGAAAATGTAATTATAGGAAACATAAATATTATTGCTTCATTGATTTCATATAATTTGAGAGTGCACTTTCGGTATTTAGTATATTGAACATAAACTAAGGTCACCACACATTTAACAAAATGAGCACAGATTTTGGACTTTCTTTTTAATTAAAATGTGGTGCAATTAAAAAATTATAGTTTTAACATAATTACCGATAATCGATTTATTCAAATTAAGTTAATGTTTGAGTTTTGCTTGTTGAAACAATAGCACAATTTTTTTTCTCCGAATTGAAAAGAGGTATTACGAACCTAAGCTAAGCCAAGAGGTAAAAGAGTATAAAGCAGGGCTATGCAGTCTGGCCAAACTTCACCATCTAGGTGCTTTTCTTAGAACAATGTATGCACTTAACAAAAATGTAAGAACTTTCATTGGTTACGACCCTATGCATCTGAGCTCGTGAAAGCCAAATTGTTTTGTAGATATCCACTACGAAATCAAGAAATTCAGAAAGTGGAAGTCATAACATTTCATTTATGCTTTTACATTTGTGGCAAAGAAAGCCAAAACATGACCTATGGAAGTACAAACCAACATATATTTACTAAGCCTTAGGAGCCAGAGCGGACGCCTAATTTAAAAGTTAGGGGGGCACAATCGAACTTGTAAAGAAGTTGGGAGAAATTTCACAATCAAAAATTTACGTCCACAAAATCGTAACCCATGTAATTTTACATCCGAAAATTTACATGGGATATGAATTTTTCGGATATAAAATTTCGAAAATTCTTGATGTCATATTCCAT